AGAAGTGATACTTCCTAGCAGATCCAAATCTTGGGGACGTACATTCAGGTGTGTTTTCTCTTACGCTAGTCTACGTAGTCTTTAGCTGTAAAGACATACACAAGATTGGCACTGTATAGCAGCAGGTCTATTCCAGTGAGTTTTCTCCCCTTCAGCACCTAGTGGAGTGTGAACTACCTGACTCTGAGATGCTTCATTTCCCAAACAAGTGTACCGTTCATTACACCCCTACCTTATTTGGTTTACTTACATTTTTGATTTAAATCCTTCAGATTTCTACTGATGTTTATAGCAATATCTTTCATTTCTAGGTACTTCAAGCTAGTCAGCTTATTCATGTTTTCCAAGAGTTTGTAGTCTTCACTGGTGGCTTAAAAAGAATAGAGTTTATTTCAATTAGAAGTCCATGCAGTTTGAATTAGATGCAGAGCCTTCAAGAGGACAAGAGATTTCAAACCGATAGCCCAATGTAACAAAGAACAGTTCAGATGGTGATACAGGTATCAGTATAACGCTCTACAAAAGGAGAGATGACATTTTATGAATTGTAAAAGTCAAACGGAGTGATTAATACTTCTTCACTTGCAATTTTTTTTAATTTTTGAGGGAGAGAAATTGACTAATTCCTCACATTTCTACTCCTACTCTGTCAGTTAAACACTTACATTTACAAAACTGATAGCACAAATCCAGACTAGTAATCTGTACCATATACCTTTCAAGTCCATCCAAACCCGTCGTGCTGTGAAGTGCTTTCAAAATTACAGCCTAGAGAATCCACTAACTTGTTGAGCAGTTTACTTTGCTCCAGTTGCACAGCAGTTTATTCTAAAGCATGACTGTTAGAAAACATGTGTAATCCTTGCTCTCATTCAGAAAAAAAAATAGATGCACATGTTCCACATTCAGTTGTGCTTCTCTTGTAGTCCTTCTTAGCCTAGACCCCTTTTATTTGTTTGCTTGTTTTCCCATGTACAAGCTTCTGCAAGACTAAAAAGAATTTTTCTTTAAGTTGCTAATGTCACACTGAATTATTTTGAAAAACACTTGCGCTATTCTGGGACTTCATTAATACGACTGATCTCAGTGTTCTTCGTAGTCTAGCAACATGCCAGACCTGAACTGCCAGTCTTGCTAGATACGATCTAAATAGGTATAGTTTAGACAAACTACACAACGGCTTTCTTTAAAAGAAAATGAAAAGAAACAAAAACTTACTTACAGGTCGGTGTTGCAGTGCCTTACCTGTCAGTTCACCTGTTAAATAAGTGGCCATTTTGTTGAACATGTCCTTACAGAGTTCATTGATGTCTGCCTCTGCTGGTTCCTTAGCTTCCTCCGCTGTTTCAACAGCAGGATCCTCTAAGCAGGGTACAGACATTGCAGGGTTAGGTGAAAGATAGCAGGTACAGAAACACACCATAAAGATTAAATGGTCCTTTTGTTTCCCCTTCAAATCGACTACACCCGCTTTCCGTATATGTTGTCTACTTTACACTAAAGGGTTACAAACCCCGGCAGTTTTCTTGAAGCAGCATAGAGATTATTTCAAAATAATACTTCAGGGAGCAGGCAAGGGACAGGCACCTGGCCTGACAGCATTTGCAAGTATCAGCCCCCTCCCGTGCTTAGACGACAGGAAAGGAATTTGGGGAGAACTTTTGAGTGACTTTGTGCACGACGCTACTGATGTTTACTTCTAGTCACTGATTCGGAACAGAAGAAGAGCAACCCCAGTCCGTTTCACGAGGGGCTACAACAGACCCCCACCTGTGGAAAGCGATAATCACCGCTTTTCTTCTCCAAACCCGCTCCCACCACAACCTGCCCTTGTTCTGCTCTTCGCAGGAGCAGTTCAGCAGCTCCTCCTCAACCCGACAGGTTGCTCTTTACTTTGTCGGCAGCTTTTGCCGGCTTGAACAAAAAGCTGCCTCGAGGCCCGCGGCTCC